ATTACTCTGTGTTTCTGTGTTTGTAGATTTTTTTTCAAATACGTTATTGTGAAGTGACAAATATAAGAAATGTTAATGAGTTTCCAAAATCTTAATACGTAGTAATATACTCCGTATTATGTTAAAATCTATAGTACAAAGTTAACAATATGCATACACACATGACACATGCACGTACACCAAGCTTTAGAGTTGGTGGGGAACTCACGTTGTGACTTTGAGATCATGAGTTTGAGTCTCACTAACTACAAAATGTTTGGGAGCAAGGGGATTCCCTTACCTCCCCCTTTACACTCAAGCAATGACCTGCGGAGCTTGCTGGCTAAACCTGTGAGGAGTGTCGGTTCAGTAAGATCCTTTAACCAAACATATCTAGGTGTGAATTTGTCATCTAAATACTAGTACCAAAGTAATAACCAAGGAGGGGAGCCGCTGCAAATGCCACTGCGGCTTGGACTTGTTGGGTGGTCTTAAATGTATCATACAATCTATGCTGTAAACCGTTTTTGCTAATGCTAGAACAGCCTTGCTTCCTTTGCATAATTGTTGTCATCCCCAACAAAGAGAGGTGATGTTAATGTAGATGCCGCGATGATTAAGGAGAGTTAGAAAGGTGTCACCAATGGAAGTTGCTGCTCGTTTCGGGGTGATAATTGCCCTGAGACTTGAGTTAATGAAGGTTGTGGTGGAAACAGATGCAAGAAATGTGGTGAGGGCAATTAATTCTTATGAGTGGCAGATCCCCTAATGACTTGATTTGTTGATGATAATAGAATAGGCACATTAGTTCATGTTTTGATGTTTATAATATATATCTGTCAAAGTAAGTAACCGAGAATGTAGCTGAACATCTTGCTGCTCACTTGTCCCCTTTTTCCAACCTCCTCCGAGGCATTTGGGCCTAGGTGGAACTTCATATAACTAGTTAATAAAGTTCCTTCCCTACTGATTGCTTTCCTAAAATAATATTCTTAAAGTAGGTTTTTTTTTTTTTAAAAAAAAAAAAAAAAAAAAAGTAAAGAGCTTATGCCAGGAATCAAAAGAGGTAATAAATCATGACAAACCAAAATAGAAATGAGGACACTAAATTGGAGCGTAGGGAGTGTGTTGTTATTTGTAAAAGACGCAAGAAGGATTGACGAAATTAATAAGTGTGATTGCATGAACACCGGTTTTACGTGCAGTGGTTTACTTACGATGAGTTAGCTATGACTATGTCCATAAACAAACGAGATGAGAGTTTCATTGATTTTGAGGATTGTGTAGATTGATGAATTCTTAAAACAAAGGGTGTCAGCGGAAAATCAAAGCCTACGCAACAGATATCGTGATTCATAAATCCTCAAATCACTAAATAGTGCATTTCACCCCTAGACCTCAACAGCTAATTCACTAACCGATTAGCAAGACCCCTGTGATCGTCGTTCAAATAAGGCTAACTTTTTTTTTGAAAGGAAATAAGGCTTAACTTATTCGGGGCATTTCCTAACATCGTACAGAGTACTCCGTATTTTGTACAAATTTTAGCCTTTTAGGGGGGGGGGGGGGGAAAAAATCAATATTTCGGGATTTCAAAAGTAGCACAGTACTAGTGGTCTCGATCTCGCTATCCCAAACAAACTACTAGCGTCAGCGTTGATCTTGTAGGTTGAGATACTGTAAAATCAGAAAATAAAGATTAGAATGTGGGCTGAATTTCTTAATGTATGTATAACGCTGTAACGTGTTAGAAACATTGTCTTAGAAGCAAAATTCGTCCCGACTATGGTGCAATCGGAGATGGCGTTGCCCCCCAAGATTTAACACAGCGATCTCCCTTAATGTGCACTCAAAAAGAGAGATTAAGAAAGAGGAAAACTAAAAATAATAGAGGAAGAAGAAGAAAGAGTTTCTGTGTGTGTTTCAAAAGACACGAAAAGATCAGTTTATAAGGATGAAGAAAACCGTAACCGTTGGAGAGAATCAAGCCACAAAATAATAGTGGAGAAAAATTTACTAACATGTTCCAATAGGGAACGTATAAACACTTCAAACATCAAAAGTATAAACACACATATTTAAACTAAGTGCCTAAGATTGAGGAGAGTAAATCCGCGTACGTACCACAAACCGGCTGGACGGCGGCGGCACCACGCATATGGGGATGCCCCTTTCTAGCCCACAACAATTGGGAAAGCACTTTAAACATCAAAGTATAAACACACATATTTAAACCAAGTAAAATTTACTTCTCCAACCAATATGGGACAAAACCCCTTTTTTTCCAATATATAAATCAAGTAAAGCCTTCTTTATCCCATCAATGTGGGACAAAGAGTTTTCATCCAAAATAAATAAAAACTTCCTTACCATTATTTCCAACAGAGGTTGTTTCACTGAAACTCGAAACCTCGATATTGTTGGCATCTCCACATTCTTGTAGTTTAAAACTAGAACACTTTATTTTTGTAATAATATGAATATGATGAGCTTATCAACTATTCATGTAAGAGTGTAAGACAACCATACAATAATTAACATTGGCATTTAGTACCAACCATTTACTAAAGTTGAAATTTAGCATTATCCTTGGTTGTGGGCCTTGTGGCCCATATTCAAATGAATTGTAACTTTTTTACATGGTTTAAACTTAATTCTAGATATTTATGTAGGGTAAAGGATAAATATTTGCCCCACAAAAATTGAAGTTGTCAAAATAGCCTTTCTTTAAACTTAGATAACTAACACTTAGATATTCTACCTTACTCTCCTCAATCTTAGGGATTGTCAAAATTTGTACAATATGTGTTGAAAATGAATAGTAAATAAGGCCAAAATTTGTACAATATGTGTTAGAAAATGAATAGCGAATACTGACAATGTAAAGGAGAAGTTAGAGTAAAGCATAAATACAGTCCTTCAACTTTTGTATTTGTGCACTTTTAGTCCCTCAACTCTTGTATGTGCACTTTTGGTCTCTCAACCACCTTAATTGGTGTTTCTAACCAAATAGTTTGGGACTTAGCCTAATTAACATTAGTTTATGGACCATGACTCATAATTTTTTTTTTTCCTTTTTTTTTCGTCAGAATTTATTATAAAAAGAATTTTTTTTATTATTTGTCATTTTTCTTCTTTTTTTACAGCATTGTTTTTATCATCAATATTAAACTATTAACTAATACTAAAACAAAACGTTGCTGACATCATCCCTTCTTCAAATTGTACGCATGTCACTCTGATATAAATTTTTTCCCGCCAATTTGCTACGATGATGTCATTAGTTTTTTTTTTTTTTTTTTTTTTTTTAACTTTTACTTTTACCTTTGTTTTTTTTTTCATATACTTTATCCTTTGTCCCTACCGAGTCCTTTTTTTTACAGGTATATTAATATTTTAATGTTTAAAAGGTCCATTGATTTATATATATAGGGTTACAACGATGAGTTCTAATCACGTTGGGAAATCTCAAAAGATATTTACAGAATATTCACAAAACTATATCCTTGTATACAAAATAATATCTAGAATATTTACCATATTTTATCAATTATGACTTCTTTTTTTTTTTTTTGTATATTTTATAAGTAATATGCTTACAAAAGAAATTACTTATCATGTATACAAAAGAAATTACAGAGTAGAAAACTTTCTTTCTCCATATTATAAAAAATCTTACAATGTGGTTTGTTTAAAACCGTGCATCGCACGGGAACTAAACTAGTTTAAAATCTAAAGTAAGTAAAAACAATACTTTTCTTTAAAAAAAAAAAAAATCACCTGTTCTTTTGATGGAAAAAAAAAATAAAAAAATAAAATTAAGCTTGATCTTTTCATGGCTTCCACTCTCCCCCCCTCCCCTCCTTCTCTCTCCTCCCTTCTCCCATGTCTTCCAACTCCCTCTCCTCCTTTGAAAATGGCTCCCATCCCTAAAAAAAACCCAACATCAACCACCAACAAAACAATGAACAAACCCTAAATTCCCCCTTCGAAATCTCCGTTGAATCCTCCCACCATGACCCAACAATTGCTCGCATCAACAATTATTGCTCGTAATTAAGGATATTTAAGAATGTGTTGAATTTAGCCGGATTTAAGGATTTATCTGGGTTAATGTAGATGTAATTGTTCTCTAATGGTGGAATTAATGGTGATTCGGATGGTACGATTACAAGGATTAAAATTACTTCGATTGATGAAACATTTTAGGCTTTGGTTTGGATTGCAATTGCGGGCTGGTGTTGGAGATGCGGCTCCACGAATTAGGGTGTGCGAAGGTGGAGGTTGTTGTGGTGGAGATGCGGGAAGGGGGAGCTGCGGTTGCGGCGAGTTGAGAGGAGGAGTAGCGGCAGAGGTGGCGTTGTGAATTAATGCAAGTTGCGAGGTTAGGGGCAACAGGGGCTTTGTTTGGTGGTAGTTGCGGGGGGGATCGAGTAGCAGCAGTGGTGATTGGGGGATTAATTGGTGGATGCAGGGGAGTGAGGGTTGCTGGTGTTGTGTTGGCTGTAAATTGGTGGGTTGCGTGGTTGATTAATGACGGTGGTGATGCTGCGGACTGGCGGAGATGGGGCTATGTGCCTATGTGTTTGTGGCAGGTTGTTGTTGGTGATATGGGGTGAGAGAAGGTGAAAGCAGGGGAAATTAATACAGTATAGTTTTATTGATGCAAACCATAATCAAAATATTAATGTTGATGAAAAAATAAATATTAATGTCAGATAAAAAATTCCTTTTTAAATAAAAAATTGACAAAAAATAAAATAAAATAAGTTATTAATGAGTCATAGTTTATTCAAAAATAAATAAAAAAAATTAATAAGTCAGCCCCTAAACTTTTGCTAACTAGGCTAGGTCCCTCAACTTTTTGGTCAGAAACACCAAGAGTGGTGGTTGAGGGACTAAAAATGCACAAATACGAAAGTTCAAGGACCGTATTTATGCTTTACTCGGAGAAGTTATCCAAACTCTTTAACTTAAGAACCTTGGACAGTAGGTATTTGCACAAAAATCTGAGCATTCTATGGGCCAAAAGGACATGATCAAATTATATTTGATAAAAATGATTGTGTTAACTGACACTCATGCTATGTAGTTATCTATTACGGAGTACAAGTATCACCATTCTTCATTACTTGATGATCACCATAAACAATGATTTACAACGGATTCGTAAAGACTAGAAGGCCAATGAAGGCATAGATGACTTCAAATCAAAACAGAAAATAGCCACTCATCAGACCATGCCAGTATTTCTTTTTAGCCCAACAAGTTCGCAAATAAAATAGCAGTCACTATCTAGAAGAATCAAAATGAAAGTACTTACATTCTAAACAGTGAAGGATCTACGATATTCTGACCCTAAAAACATGCATGTTTTCAACAAAAATGCAACTGAACTGAATTCTGCTGATGTCTATATATCTGCATCAAGGAAATTATTTGACAAAGAAACCTGCAACATCGAAGGATCCAGAACAATTACACTACAGAAGTCACATTAGAAGAATACATTATCAAACAATGAAGTTTCATAAAATTAATTTTTTGAAGAGATATGTTTATTTTGACTCCCTTATGAAGCAGAAATCTCTGAGTAAAATTTGATTTCCCACCTCACAGGAGCATATGCATCATGAATTCATAATGATGCACCATACACAAGAACCATACAAGTGATACGACTATATAATCTATTATTCATAAAGGATTATAATGGATTATATAAGATATACTTCCACTGTTTTTAATTGACAAGTTTCTTTTATCATGTTTGCCACTGCATAATTTCAACCATTAAAAACTTTAATTGCCAATAAGTAAAGTTCAAATCTAACAAGATCTCACATGATTAAACTTTTCCTTGTGTATAAATCATAAAAGACTGTCGAAAGGAAGTGTGTGATTAGTGTTAAAAGTTACAACTTGTCAACTACAAAGACCAAGTATTTGTTATCACCAAACTTATAATAAGCAAAACACAAAGTCACTATAATCATAATATACAGTGTTTTTTTTTTTTTTTAATTTCGATACTGATTGAAATGGAGAAAATGGAAAGGAAACTTAGGGGAGAAAAAACTAAAATTCCTTTGGGTTACTTGCTAGGTATTGGATACATTCATTTGTTTGGATAAGGACTTCTTGTTATCAACTTTCCTTCCAGCCAAAATCGACAATTTGGGATGAATAAAATACAGAGTTTAAAAAGTAGGTCTTTATTATCGCACCTTTTCCTTCCCCATCAATTCCATTATAATATTAAATCCAAGCGTAATGCTCTACTTTTTTTTTCCCTTCCTTTTCTTTCCCATCCACTTCTGTCTTACCAAACAAACTGATTATAAGTATATACTTAATTTATTCCAAAATACTTGCAACTAATCATCTTGACACTATATCTAAAAATGTGAAAAAGCTCCTGTATATATTGATAAATAGGCAGGAAACTAGAAACACAGGGATAATAAAAGCAGTAAATAACAACATATATAGCTGAGTAGAGCAATCAAGTTGGGAACTAAGAGATATACCTTTTCCCCGAGTTTAAATGCAGGAAGACCTTTGTATGGGCATGTGCTGCACCTAAAAGCATCTCCTAGTCCACACTGTAAATTTAGGAAGCCCAACAATAATTTCAATCACATTGACAACAAATAATAAGCAAACAAGCACTATAAAAAATATAAGCAAACAAGCACTATATTCAACACCAATTAGATCTAAACACAAAATGCAATTGCAGCCATCTTCCAAAATAAAAAATATTCTGCATTAAAAATATCAAAAATTGAACTGATTAAACACATACGCTGCCACATGCAGACTGAGGATTATCCAGTTGTTCCATTGTCAACCCCAATTTTTCAACTTTTTGCTCCTCCTCAGCCCTTCCACATGTACAGTTCTTGCAAGCTTTCCTAGTGCTTCCAACTTCACAGTCCCCAACTGTAGTGACAAAATGGTAATTCCTTGAAATTTAAGAGGGAGGGGGGGGGGGGGGGATATAATTATATCAAGCACTTACCAGGAGGCAGTTGTGGTTTCTTCAGATCTTCCTCGGTTAATAAAGAATCCTCATCAATCAAATCCATATCATCATTGATTTGAACCTTTGGCAAACCTTTAGAGGCTTTGAGGGAAAAAGAAGATCCAATGTTCCAAGATGGCTTCCTCGCTTTAACCTATAATAGAAGATATATTCATCAGATGAATTCAACAAAAGACGCATAAATCCATTATCAATTTGTTTCAAGGATGAATTCTGTAATTCGTTTCAATCTATGACGAACCTAGTTATTCTTGCCTCTATAAGGAAGAGAACAATGACGCCAAAATTGCCATAACTAAAAAGTCTCAAACCCAACATCAGTGAAATTTACACCCACTGCAACATCAGGAATCATCAGAGAGAGAGCGAGAGACAAAGAAGTGAACAGGCATAGAACACTGGCATAAAGGATAGGTTCTAGAATAGTAGATATTATGTTCCCAATTAAAAGAAGTTTTCATAATCAAGCAAGCAAATGTAACATGTTCAACTCTTAATTTTTTAATTCTACATATCCATATCATTTGTATTGATGTAGTTTTTCTACTATTTACATGGATCAAATGACTTCCTTCTTCACAATTGTAAACATATAAAGACATTCACGAGACAAATCAACTTTGTTTTCCATAAAGTGGTCTCGCTAGTTTAATAAACAAAGGACCTATGGAATAAGAATCCAGCTCACAAGAGTCATAAACTCATAATACGAAAAAGAAAAAAAATAAATAAAAAAAAATTCATCCATCCCAAATTACTCATCCCATTGCTTTTGGCATGCTTGTTAATGTAGGGGAAATATTAGAGAGAAAAAAGCAGGTCGAGTCTGGTACACTTAAACGCAAAATTAGGAAGGAGGGAGTATAATTTTCTTTAAACCCTAGTTAGAAGTTATGGAGCCATCCACTAAAATGGAGACAATACCGAATCATTTATCTAATAGCCTAACAAGATCTACTTATTATGCAACCTAATTTAAAGATGTGGATGTATCTAATGATACCACATCCACTGAATGTCATCATTGCTTCCATAGCCTAGCAAGAGCACCCCTCCTTTCCCCAAAGGGCCCAATAAAAAGGGATATGGAAAAAATAAGCAACTATGGTAGGAATCCTAGAACAGAGTTTCTCTCCAGCAATATCTTCAAGTCACGAAGAAGATTCAGCAAACTTATTTCCAACATTTACATAGGCTCATGTTCTGGTTGAAGTAGTATGTAGGCAAACATTTATGAATAGGTGAGAACAGTTTAGTAGAGCCTAAAAATAAATGATGCAAGTGGAAGAAAAGAAACTTTCACAAAGCCACTTTAAGTTGTTTCTTCTGGCCATACGCACAAACAGTTTTTGAGAAAGAATATCTACGAAATGACAAATTAACAAGGACTTGACGGTCTAGGGCACTGGCATAAATATTATCTTGCATGTGCAAACAAACAAAACTAAAGCCTTGTTACCAAGTGGATGGGGTTGGGCCGGTTGGCTACATGAACCAAGAATCTATTTCCTTTGGTCATCATGTAGATTTTCTCCTCCATTCACTTCTATCCATTACTACTTGCTTTTGCAAACCCACTTTCTTTGTGCTATCTTTAACTCCCTCCATCCAAGTCATCTCGAGCCACCCTAAATGCCTTTTGAAATCACCATAATCCCAACCACATACCTTCCTTACCAGTGATGTCTCACACGCTCAAACCAACATAGTTGACTCTCCTTAGTCGCATCCTCCAGCTTTCCTTCCAAACATCTACATTCCTAACTCTATCCTTGAAGGAGTTTCTACACATTCATCTCAAAAAGTACATGAAGCTCCCCATAAGCAGCCATGTACTATGACTGGTAAATATAGAATATTATTTTCTTACTGACAAATAACAAATCTCAGGTATTCTCAACACCACTCCATACAGGTTATTTATCACCTCGTTCTTTTATTCACTTTTTTCAGCCATAATTCAGAAATATCTCATTTAGAACTCTGATATAGATCTATCAGAATGCATAGAAGTTTTATTCAGGAAATATGAGAATCGGTACAAAAGGTACTTTTTTTTCAGCCATAATTCAGAAAGATATCACGTAGAACTCTAATATAGAACTATCAGAACGCATAGAAGATTTATGCAGGAAATATGAGAATAGCACTAAAGGTAATTCACTAACTTGCATAGATTGAACTCCCGTAAAAGTGTCTGGTTGCTGCAGGCTAGCTTCTGGTTCCAAAAATCCTGCTACAAGTATCTTCCGCTCCAGAGAAGAAAGAATCTGCAGATCACCAAAAAAAATTATCAAGTTTTAATGGATAGGTGGACACATGCAAAGCCACAAACCATCAATATTTACATCAACCAAACAATATATTACATTGTCTGAAGGTAAATCAACAGCAAGTCCAGTCAGATGAATGATAACATTTCCATCTGGCTTCAAAATTCTAAATATTTCAGCAAGCAGTGAAGCAGCAGGAAAATCGTGTACTTTGGAGACACCAATAACAGTATCCATGGATGATGGGTCCAAAGGCAGTGTACCTGATAAGTTCATGCCATTAAAAAATTCACAGTAAATGTTGTGCAATAAATGAAGGTTATTTTTGCAAAAAAGGATGTTGAAAGATAACACTATTGAGAACACTATCACAAACTCAGGATCAAGATGTGTGACAGCGGTTCACAAGTAGACGAAATTAGAAATCAAATATCAACCCACTTTACAGCAATGCCTTCGACACAAGCAAGTGAAAAGGAGGCACTCAAACAATAAGCTGATATTTTGTTTAAGATAAGTGTAAATATAATAGAAAAATGACCAATTATTTCAAAAACAACAAAAAGAAAAAAAAAAATAATCAATTGCATTAAATCTTCTGAAGTCCCAGAAAACCTCCAAAGCCCAATAGCATGAGTCTCCATGTCCCAAATTGCCAAACAATTCTGGATAAACAAATTCACAAACTGATTTGTCTAAAAAAAATTGGCTTAGAACCATTCCTAAAAGTCTAAAACCATTCATTCTTATTTGTATGAATGTGCTACATAAACATTTCCAGTTTAGAGAACTTTCATATACAACGAATATCAGTTTTTAGATATGAACAAGTTTCTGAAAAATTACTTTGAGTTGAAGCCATAGTGATAATCAATGCATTATCGGTCATCGATCCTTCTAGCTTCAGCTTGTTTACAATACTAAGATGCAAGATCACGTCATCAGTAAGTGCAAGCATTGCCATATTTTCCTCCTGCAATAAAATATGGCTTTAAATAAATCAAATGTACTTCTTTACAAAGCCATTCAAGTAGTGGTACTCAATATGAAAGAATATGAAATGCATTCAAGAATAGGTGTTTGAAGATTGCAAAATATAGGAGTTTGATTTGAATTGATTATACTAATAAACAATAACTAAGGAACATTGCAACAAACAACACTCTTTCCTATCCTTTCATAATTTCATTACATAATGTGCTTTCAATGCCTTCTCTCCTATTTTTTCTTAAACAAGGACTTTGGCAATTAATAAATAGGCAAAATTACTTGTATTTTTTTCCAATTAACTAACTGTTTTTAACTCACTTGCTACACTCTCTCTCATCCTTCTTTATCATTGTGCAATTGGTAACTGTAAGTAACTCAAAGAAAGACCCCTCTCCATTTTGTAATTATGTCCTTGTTTTGACTATGTGTGCTTGTCAATACACATCTTGGACCATTGATTTCTCTAATTACATATTAATAATACTATTCGATATTCTTACAACACCCACTAAGACAAATCAAGCAAGGCCCCAAAGTGAAATACGGTGGTGGGCAGTTCAAGCCCACATCACATGAGTTGGATGAGTAGGATGGATAATATATGGTCAAAGTGGAGCATGTTAAACAAAATAACAGATAAAGTGGTTGTTAATTCACTGGTGTTCATATTAAAACTATTGATACAAACTAAATTTTTATACAGCCAAAGCATGATTGAACTATCTCAAGCACCAAAAACTAAACACAAACTCAACTACACCATACAAAAACTAAGGACGCAATCTAAAACATCAGTGGCATGTTTTACACAAACAATGGAAGGTCTATGACTATTTCCATCAATACTCAATAGCATCAAAAGAACAAGGTGTAAGCTTGCTTAATTCAATCCTCCTTAAAGCCTAAAACTCATATGCCTCAAAAGTCACATTAGTAACCACCCTTTAAAGTCTAAACACTCAATTTAAGATGTATGAATTTTAACTAGAACTCATACGATAATCCCTGTATAGTCAATTCAACCAGGCCCGTCCCTGAGCGAGCGCGGGAGGCGCGGCCGCCCTGGTCCGGGGAAAAAGGTACATTTTCATAGTTCCGTCCTACAGTAAAGAGTTATAAACAACAGTATGCAACACATTTGCAACCAAAATTGATTCAATCATCAAATTAGGCTCCAAAGATCTTGTTTAAGAATATCAACGTAAATTGCACATAGAAAAAGTCTAGCATCAAAATTGATCGCAATAATCTTTCATGACCTGAGTAGTTATTGCATTAAGTTCAAGAATCCACCTTAGTAGAACCCTAAATCAATTATACTGACAATTAGATCGTCGATAAACCCTATATCATAAAATTGATATTCGATTATTAAAATAACAAAACCTTACCTCAGAAGCTGCTTCAATGGAAGAGAGAAAGCTCAAAGCTACTTCAATGGAGAGTTCAGAATACGCGCTGGACTACAGAGATAGAGAGAGCAGAGAGGTGAAGTGTAAAAGTGAAAAGGAAAAAACAAAATAAGAAAACGTACTAGAAAGTACGAATTGCCGAACTGGAAGATTAACTTGCGCTCATATACCCCGTACGGAGTAATGTCTCAATGGGCTAGGAAATTCCGTTTACAAATGATAAACGGAAAAATTTTAAATAAATTAATCAATAAAACATAATACTAAAACAGACATCAGGAATAATATGTGTCACTTTTTAATGCTATATTTTTCCTTCAAAACTGTTTTTTTTACCTTTTATTGTAAATATACTTTATATATATTCATCAAATTATTTGATTGTGAGAGTGAGGGGTAGCTCAGTTGGTAAGAGCTTCCCTCCCGATTTCAGGTGATCCTGGGATCGATTTATTATTATTATTATTATTATCTATACTATTCAATCTATAACGTAATATTAAAACAAACACTAGGAAGAAACCGACTCTAGAAATAACATGTGTCACAATTTGGTGCTGTTTTTTTCTACGGTGACATCAACTACTTATTGTAAAATATACTAAAAATATTCACCAAATCATTCACTTACTGAAACAAAATATATATTTGTGACTCACATATTTTCCATAAAATATTATTCTAACGTCTATTACTTTGTATATATATAGAGTATATATTATTTCCTAATCCTTATGCGGTATTTTATTCCTTTAAATCTTCAATATATTATATATGCAGTAATTTTGTAACAAAAATAAATATGCGTTTTAGAAATAATTGATTCATACTTGATTATTACTATTACTATTACTATTACTATTATTCCCTAGGCCTTCTTTTGTTATTCATATATTCTCTATTTAGAAATTTCAAAATGTTTTAATTTCTTGTTAAGAAACGGCTTTCTAATAGCATAATTTATTCTTTTTACAATATCAATCTTATTTGATTTATTTTTAATTTTTATTTATTTATGTATGTCAAAAGCACGATAAATTAGATATGTTTTCCACTATCCTAAATTGTATCAAATACACTATAGTAATTATTTATGTTACAATCTCATAGTGTTTAATATACAATTTTACAATACTTAATTATTTAGTTAATAAAAAGAAAAACGATATCAATTTATCATTAAAATTTTAAACTTATTTGCCTAAATACTCTGTCGTCATTATATTTCATGTTTCATTTCATTATATGCATTAAAAAAAAATACTATGGTTACATATTTTGTCCACATGCAATATACAAAATATTTTATTTTTGATTTTAAAAATTTTTGTATTAAATTATAAACAATAGTGAAATTAATTACCGTGCATGGCACGGGACCTAATCTAGTTAATAAAAATACCTAGTCAGTATAGCATTTTTGTGACTATATTTTGTGCCCATTTTTAATAAAAAAATGTTGATTATTTACAGTTTTACAAGTTTTGTTTATGAAGGTGATAAACTTGTATTTTATCCACAATAGATACCTTGAATCTGCGTTGAAGCTGAGGATCCTTTTATTCTTTTGTACTCCGTATTTAATCAAAACAAATAATTCAAATAAATTTAACATGTCAAACTGATCTTTATAATAGTAATTTTTTTAAAATGTAACTATCAAAATCAAAATGTAACCATATAATTAAGACAGTAAGTAAAACATAAGAAGTATCGTACTGTTCATATGCTTTAATAATGGTATGTAAAAAATGCTTGACTTAAAACCTTTGAAGATTAAGAAAGTCACAATTAGGCCAATGGGTGATATGAACAGTATAAATTGCGTATAATTTTTAACATAACTTAATCAACAACCATAGCATATCATATCATAAATCACTAATAAATAAAGTCGGTTTTGCAGCCAGGTCATGAGACAGCGACACTTAGCATTCCAATTTTTCGCCAAGTGTCGCGCCACGTATAAGATAAATAGGTATTAGTTATTTACTTTCATTTCAGTGAAAATAATTGAAGTTCAATAAAAATAATTTCAAGTCAATAATAACATAAATATCTATTTACAAACAAAACTATATAAAGTACACTACATATGATATCGTATGTCAAAATATCCTACATTATCAGAACGAATTATTTGACCGTATTTAACATTCAAGTAAAAATGTGATCTTAAAATTTTATCAGCCATCTGGGCATCGCCTGGGCACAAAACTAGTCACTAATAAATAAAGCCGGTCACACTGTTAGGCCACGAGATAGCGACACTTGGCATTCTAGTTTTTTGCCAAGTGTCGCGCCACGTAGGCGACAAATTGGTATTATTGTGACACATATGATGTTAAGTAAGCGAGTTTGGATAGATTTTTTAAGATAAAAATGATGTATAGAGTTTTATTACCACTACACTTCTAATATTTCATATATACAAAATTAATCATAACTTTTAATAAATATCCTATAACTCGGTTTTATTTCCATCCTAAAATTCGTTTCAAAAAGTTCTTTAAAATAAGATCCATTTATAATATATTTAATTTAGTTAAAAAAAATAACAGAGAATTAGTAAAGATAAATTTTAATCAGTAAAAATAATTTTGATTTGGTAAAAAGACTTTCAGTACAAAATAATTTAAGCACAATAACAATAATTTCAAGTCAATAATAACATAGATATCTATTTACAAACAAAATTATAAAAAGTACACTATTCTATAAATAAGCGATAGGATATCATATGTCTAAATATCCAGCATTATCAAAAGGATTACATGACCGTATTAATGAACATTGAAGCCAAAAAATTTATCTTAAAATTTTATCAACAATTCAGGCATCGCCTGGGCACAAAAGTAGTAACTAATATATAAGCCTAAAATTTTAGCTAGACCACGAGACAGAGACTCTTGGCATTCCAACTTTTCGCCAAGTGTCGCGCCACGTAGCGACCGCTAATTATCAGTACGACACGTAGGATTTTTTTGAATATATTTTTTGTAGAACTGGATAAAAAAGTTGGTTTAGTGTTTTATTTTCAATAAAATTTGGATAGATTTAGTAGGATAAAAAAGTTAATTTAGACTTTTATTTTCAATAAAACTTTTGGTTTAGAGTTTTATTTTCAATAAAATACCAAAATTTCTATACAAATGACGGATCCAAAGAGTTACAATAGGAATTTTTTTTTTTTTTTAAAGAGACTTGTTATAATACATAATCGTTTGCTTAAGTCTTAACATGCAACCAACCTTTCCTTAGGTGTTCCGAGAAAATGAAAAGAGATCACAGCTTTAGACAACCGTTCTTTGTGGTTGTACATTATTATTTCTATTTTTTTTTAATTTGTGTGATTATTAATCCATAAAATACCCATAAACGGACAAGTATGATTGTCAAGTGATTATTAATCCATAAGTAGAAAATTTAAATAACATATATATTTTAGATAAAAAGTTTTATTTTAAAATTAAATAAACAACTCAAGCATCACACGGAACACAAAACTAGTTATTATATATAAACCTAAACTAGCTCATACAAAAACACACATACAATAATAAAAATCTCTAAACAAGTTCATGTACTATTCAGTGCTCCTTATTTAATAACTCTTTCCTTCCATGTTTTTGCAAACATTGATTGTACATGGTTTGAACCCATGATCCACAAGTTTGAACACTAAAATCACATCACTCAAAACAAAATATAAGTAAATACATTTTAAAAAAAATTATAAATGTTCTCATGTTCATGACATTTGTGTTACAGTTGAATTTTCAAATGGGTCGAATCCTACTTATAAATTACGGAGCATTAAAATAAACACACTAATTTTAAAATCATACACATCATCAACATAAAACTTCAAAAAGAAAACACCAAAGGGAAAATTAAAATTATTGTTAGGAACCTTAGGATATAATCGAAACTACTTTTTTTTTTTTATAAAGAAAATATAGGGTATAGTTGGAAGGTTTTTTTTTTTTTTTTGTTGTTGTTGTTGTTGTTTAGACAGTCACAAAAATAAGGGTGAGAATCGATCCTAAAATCTCCTGAAATTGGGAGAGAATTTTTAACTACTTGAGATATCCCTCACTCTCGACATAGTTGGAAGATGACACTTATCAAACCCTTAGGATTCGGTAATTGGATTTTTACAAGATAATCTATTTAATTAAAAAAAAAAAAAAATTAACATGCTTTACTCTTATGATAGGTCTTATCCCATGATCAGTAGACAACATACCATACCCAATCCACACGTATACGTAGTCCATAACTCCATATACATAACCTTCAGATAATTATCATTATCTCCATGTCCCACCGCCCATAATTTCAAAATGACTTCATCATTGATAAAGACAAACAAAACAAATCTTACCATATCTCCCTTTAATATGAACTAACTCTACGTAACTCTACTAATTAAGAATTAAAACAAAATGTTTCTAGACTTAATTTTGTACGATATAGATGTTTCTAGACTAGATTTTGTGTAATATTAAAAACATATCTGAGATAATAAGTTGTAAGCTAGAATGGATTATAATTAGAAACATTTAACACAAATAATAATGAAGTATTTACATGTCAAAAATGGTACTAGTATTACGTAATAAAGTATAAACTTATGGAAAAATCACTCAAAGATTGTAATCCGTATTTTCAAAAATGTGTTATATGACAAAAAATGATCAATCATACACTAGTGTTAAATGACTTAAATATGTAACTTCTACAAGGTACAAAGTATAATAATAATAATAATAATAATAATAATAATAATAATAATAATAATAGTTGTTTGGGTCCAATTTAGTCAAAATTGGGCCTAAGCACTAAATGATCGAATTAAAATCCCAAGGTCAAGGTTCAACTCTCCAATTGCTCAAAGGTCAAAGGTCAGCCCACAAAGTAAGCCAATTGGGCTAAAGCCCAACCTCTCCATGTATGATGAGGTATAAAAGCCATCATATTGACACATTCACGGGGAGATAGGAGATTCAGATTCATATGCTCATTCTGGCATTCAGAAATATTCCACAAAAGCCTCAAGCTACAAACTCTCTTGCATAGTGTCTTCCTTTTACACATTGTACTGACTTTAGCATCGGAGGGGCCTTCCTCGGAAACACCCCCGAGGCTAGTTTACGCGTGTTCACTGTGCAGG